TGATGTAAGGGAAGCTATATTATCACTCAAAAATTCCTCTTCCTTAGATTATTATGGATATGGGTAAAATTTTCGAGATACTAATTAGAGACAAACTGGTAAGCTACTGTTGAGATCTATTCTTTATTTTCAAAGTGCCAATTTGGTTTGAGAAAAAATAAGTCAACTGTTAAAGCCCTTTTAAATTTCATTGAGAATGTCGTTGAAGGTTTTGATGAGGGTATGCATACAAATGCAATCATGTACGACCTCACTAAAGCTTTTGACTGTGTGCGTCCAAATATATTGATGTGGAAACTTGAATACTATGGAATTAGAGGCAATGTACTTAAACTTGTTTCCTCATACCTTAATAACAGGAAACAGTTTGTCTCTTATAAGGGTGTGGAGTCCAGTATTCAACCTATTGAAAATGGAGTTCCTCAGGGATCTATTTCGGGTCCGGTCCTTTTTCTCTTATACATCAATGATTTGCTTAATTTTGTAGTTAATAGTTCTTGTATTTTATATGCAGATGACACCACTCTATTAACTAGAGGTGGTCTTCATGTTTGCCTAAAGCAGTCCTTTGAACTGTTTATTTTAGTATTATACATAGCCATATTTCTTATAGTATTCTCCTTTGGGGTAATGCAACAAATGCAATTAAAGTATTCCGACTCCAAAAGGCAGCTATTAGGCTTATAGATGGTGCTGCACCGGATGCTCCATATGTAGGGATCTATTCAAAAAATGTCATATTCTCCCACTACCTTGTGTTTATATTTTTCAAACATTACTATATATTCAGGAAATCTTACATAATTTTACAAAACATTCAGATATTCACAACTATAATACCCGAGAAGCAAGCAATTTGGTGGCTCCATTTTCTGGCATACGTTTATCACAAAAGAATAAGGTAAACATAAATATATACAATAAATTTGTTCATATTTATGGAAAAGCTTTAATTGAGTTGTTTTTATTAAATTATTGCTTTTATACTATTGACGAATAAATCCATAAATCGTTTGTATTTTTAATCTGTTAGACTGTTAGATATTTATATTTTCTATCTATTTGTGACTTCAAATGTACTTGTATATAAACTGGTCAATAGAGTAAAGTAAGTAAGTAAATAATTTGATCACACTGTCCTATTAACACTACAAAAACCTGAAACTTTGTAATTTAAAATTTTTTTGTAAAATAAATAGCAAAGGAGCTACATGCATCTGAAGGATATCGAATTGGCCAGATTTTTTCAAATATCTAGTCAGCCATGACGTTTTTTCAAAAAATAAAAGTAACTTTTAATAAGGATCATAAAACTGCATACGTTTCCTCATTTAAGCTTTTTTGTATCTGCTACTTTCCGAGATCACTACACTAAACATCGAAAAATACTCACCCTGTATAAAAACAGTTCACGAGAATTTTTTCTTAGAAATACAAAAGTTCAAAAAATCAGCATAGAACTTTTTTATTTTCTGAGAAATAACTCAGAACAAATTTCAAAAATTTTACACCAGTTTTTGAATTTTTGACACATATTATACTTAGAATTATTTCTAACAAAAAATTCTCAAACTGTTTTAAAGTTACTTTTGATTTATTTAATTGTGTTTTAAAATCACTTTAATATGTACAAAAATCAGTACTCTCAATCGGCTCGTTCTTTGAGCAAAATGTAAGAGATTTTTTTTCCTTACAAATTCTCAGTGCCGGACTGGGAGAAAAAAGTGGCCTGGGAATTTTTCAAACAAGTGGCCCTAAAAAAATCTAAACTGACTTGGCTTGCCATAGTAAAAAGTAAACGGGTTTTTCTAGTGTACAGTTTTGAAATAGTTGTTGTTTATGTCGAGTTTTCCAAAGTTGAGAAAATTGAAAATTTTTAAATGTATTATTTATTTTATCCATCAATTAGTTTATGATTTCTTTTATTTTTTTCAGTGGATAATTTTACCTTGTATTCGACTACTATTAAGCGCTTTACTCGGTAACTTTTTACTGGAGATTTTTCTAAATCCATCAAGCTTGAACCATAGAATACGATTTTGTATTCATATTAAATAAGACATGAAAATATGAGAGCTGTAATCTAAGAAGTATTGATACTATAGGTTTTACTATATATTACTCGCTTCTCCCTTCCTATTAAACTCAGCCTGTTTGCGGTTTTGCAAACAATGAACATTATTATTAATATTATTATTATTATTATTATTATTGTTATTGTTATTGTTATTGTTCTTGTTGGTGTTGGTGTTGGTGTTGGTGTTGGGGGTCGCGGTCGGGGACGGGGTCGGGGTCGGGGCCGGGGCCGGGGCCGGTGCCGGTGCCGGTGTCGTTGTCGCTGTCGTTGTCGTTGTCGTTATTGTTATTATTATTAATATTATTATTATTATTATTATTATTATTATTATTATTATTATTATTATTATTATTATTATTATAACTTTTAAGAGCTGAAGCAAATGCTTGTTAAGCTCTAATACAAAAAAAAGCTTATCCTATACATGGTTGATAAGAAAAATACAATAAAAAGAGAAAAATAAGAAACAAAAATTAATGACACGAATGCAAACAGTAAAAAAATAAAATAAAATATGTATGCATATTCTAGAAAAATGTTATCCTGTTTGGGTATTAAGGTGGCCATCGAGTCTATTCTTAAAGGAATTAAGAGATGGTGCCGAAACCACATAATCTGGTAGAGAGTTCTACTGGTCGAAAATTCTATTGGGTAAAAAATTATGTCTGTTGCGGGTGTGGAAATTTTCTTTCTTAAGTTTGAAGGAGTTACCTCTAAGACGAGAATCAGTGTTTAGTTGAAACATAGTTTCTGGACAGTATAATTCACCATGAAGTATTCTATAAGTTGTTATGAGGTCACCACGAGTACGTCGCACTTCAAATGATTGAAGACGGAGGCGCATAAGACGTTCTTCATATGTAAGATGTTTAAAACCAACTGGGAGTTTTGTAGCACGCCTTTGAACACCTTCCAATCTTGCAATGTCCTGCTTTAATAACGGAGACCATATGGCTACGGCAAATTCTATCTGAGGGCGAATATAGGATTTATATAACTTCAGAAACATGCTGATGGTGAGGTCACAGAAAGATTTTTTAATTATGAAAATTAATTGATTGCACTTTTTCACAACTTTTGTAACATGTGCACTCCAGGGAAGAGACTCTGTTATAACAACGCCAAGATCATTTTGATGTGTCACACTCGGTAGTTCGATTCCATTAATGTTATACACTAGTCTAGGATTGGTTTTGGACATGTGTAGTAAACAGCACTTTTCGGGACTAAGAGGCAACAACCATTCAGAACACCAATTCAGAATCGTATCAAGATCTTCTTGTAGAAGATTTATTCCAAAAGCATTGTCCAAAAAAAAAACATAGCTTAAAAAGCGACTAAATTTTAGAATTTTTTTTTGCTTCCCATTCTAAAAGTTTCAAATTTTTGAAATATATCTAATTAAATGTTGAGCCAAGCGGTCCATCAGTAGTTTTCCTTGTTTTCCATGTGGCCAGTCCGGCGATGCAAATTCTATTGATAATAAAAAACGCTAATCAAATTTCCAAGATACTCATTGGTGTTGACGTTCTGAGGTACCTAGTGGTATTGACCCCTCGTATCTCTCCAGTTACCTGTAACGGCGACACTGCTTTTCAGAAAGAAACAATTTGCACATTATTCTTAACGCACAGTTGATGTTTACTCGTGTACAAATTTAGATATTTTTATCTTTAGCCGATATAAAAATAATTAAGGAAAACCATTTGGAAAGTAACAACTTCAACACACTGTATTTCGAAAACAGGGCGTCTAAGGAAAAAACCTTACATGAACTACCCCTATTATTTTCCCAAGAGGAACATGTACACTAGTTTTTTTGAAACATGAACGGGACACCCTGTATATTGTTTTTTTATTATTATAAGATGTTTTTTGTTTTTATTTTTGTTCCCAGTTTTTTTGTTAATAAATATATGCTGTTATAATAATTTTAATTTTTAATTAGAGGAGGGATGGGAAAAAAATATGCCTAGGGTACCAACATACCTTAACGCGGCCCTGCCTACATAAACTCTTTTAACAAAAAAAGTTTGCAATATAAAACAAATATTAGACTCAGAAAAGCTTGTGAATGTACGGGGTGTCTCAATAATCTTTGTACATAGAAGATCAAGATAACATGATTAATTAAATGTTCCTCTATCCTTTACCCAAAGTTATTTCGTAAGCAACTACAGGTTGTCAAAGGTTACAAATATACATAGTTTTCTATAAATAACTCAAAACCACTTTATCGGAATTAAATATTATGTGATTATAGCTATCAACCTCATACAATTTCGAAAATAGTCAATGATATAGAAATTCTAGTGTTTTTATTGGCGGTGTGTTACAGTTTACAGATATGTAAACCACCTAATTGAATTTTGGTTATTTATAGTTGTCATTATACCTACTAAAAGTTTCATCAATCTATGTCAATCATCTTCAAAGACGATAATCAATAAATGTAATATTTTTCTTCTAACTTTAACACATCAAACAGGCAAACACCCTTTATTTATTTATTTTTATTTATTTTATTTATTTAAATTAAAACTTGGATGATTTTCAAATAATGGTATGGTGTTTTATGTACAATTTGAAAACGCTTACTGCGTGGAACACGTATTTGAACGTGTCGTCCCAAGGCTTCCAAATCATCAATCGACCACCATCACCTCGTTTATATGTAGCTATCCCATAGAAACATAAAATTAGAGTTCAGCCTATAAATTAATAACATATTCCTATCACAAATTTTAATGTAAAAAGTAAAGCAAAACTTTTATAGCTTTTGATATACCTACTGACATCTCTATGTGTATCTGACCTATTATTTTTATGTTAAAATGGAGATACTAACTTTCTTAATTCGATATTAGATATCATATAAACGATGCCACTATTGTCGAGCTGTCAGTTCTCCTTCCCCAACCTAGAATTTTTCGTGTTTGATTTGCCATCAACAGCTATCACATTCGAATTTGTGTTAAGACGTGGCTAGTTTCTTTGAACATAATCATTTATTTATTATTAAACATTAAAAGGTATTATTCAAAATGAGTAAAGCTTTATTTTTCGCTACGGTTTTCGCATTTTTTTCCGTCGTAATTTGCTCAAGTTGTACAAATCCCGAAGTAACCTCAAAATCATTCACAACTCAAGATGCTACGATTGTATCAAATATTGCATATATATCTGAATTCACTGTAAAATGTGAATCTGGTGATATTGGAAGTATATATGCGGAACTAGACGGAAATGTTGTTCCTGTATCTATTGTGGGACCTAACAGGTATCAGGTAAATATCGTTATTCATTTAGAAAACTGATATTAGTAGAAAAGGGATTTAAGTAGTAAATTATTAATGATATAATCTCGATTTGTTAACAGTCTATATGTAAAGTGTAGATTCATGATTAAAAATAATTTTTACATTTGGCCATATGGACAATTTGTACAACTAGAAATGTTACATACTTGTTAAGTATAATATTCATATCATAATGAAGTAAACATATTGCATTATGTAAAAAACAATACAAACGCAGCAATTACGTTTAAAAATAATTGCCGTCTTAAGGATTATGTCAATAGTTCTGCAGAGGTGTTTAATACTGTGTAAAATATTTATTACATTTTGTTTCTTTTAATTTAAAGGTGAGTTGGACTGAAGAAGCTAAGTCGGCACGCTCCGGAGAAAAACAAATAAGACTTTTAAACGAGGATGGATACACGGCGTACCGTAAAGCTCTTAGAGCTGGCGAAGACATTTCTGCTGTACCATCTCTTTTCAGTGTACTCGTGAACCATCCAGGCGCATTTAGTGGCCCTTGGTTGAAATCTGAATTCATCGCAACGGTGGTTTCACTAGTTATTGCCTATTTTGCAGTAGCGTCTCGATCAAAAGTTGTTTCATAATGCTCATAGAAGCTTTGTTGACATTGTTAAATAGTATGTTGAGTCAACTACTGTAAATTTATTTATTTCATTGTCATTTTCGATAATGTTGTTTAAATTCATGATTTCACATGTTCCAGTTGTACATTTTTAAATTTTTAATAAAAAAGAAACAGAAAGTTTATTGTATTATTGACCCTGGATTTACTTATTGTTTTTTGTTTAGGCAAACTAAAAGATAACATAAAACATGAAATAGATGTTTAAAGAACAGTACTTTTTAAAATATAAGAGCACAATTACTGAGATAATTTTTTTCAAATAATGTGAATGATGGTTACTGGTAATAGTAACTGAAGAATTGTTAATAGAAATATCAGTTTATTAATTTATGCTATTTGGATATGGTATAGCCATACGAGTATATTTAATTACTCATATGGGTATAGCTATATAAAATTGTATACCAGGTGTCTCAGAAAGGTTTGAATACTGCTGAATGACATATTTTTAGGATCAGAATAAGACGGTTTAGATCAACTTATGTTTATGCAAATGTTAATACCTGCTGAAATGTTATAACTTGCTATACCCGACACAAAATTTTTAATACCCCTCTAAAATTGCTGTATTTGATTTGAGGGTTGTACGTGTATTTACTTCTTAAACATGTAAGGATAATAGATAATACACAAAACGTTTTTACGTTAAAAAATGTAAATTAAATAATGAGGACCCAAAAAAAATCACTATTATTTTGTTCCATATTCAAAAAATATATTACATTCAGGCAAAGACGAGGACGAAATAGAAAATGTCTGTCAAATTGATTTTGACCCTAGGAGTTATTTCTGGGACACCTTGTATAATATGGTAAGAATTCTTCTACTAGTCAAAGTAGGTACTGGCTAATGCCGCTATTGGCCGTAACGTGGCGCCACAGTCTACACATTTAAAATGTCTACCAAAGAGATTCGTCTAAGAAATTATGAAATTAATCAATACCTACAGAGAAAGGTAAGATAAATAATGAAATGGAGATAAATACAACAACGGGTTTCTTTGATAAAAATAAATTATAAGCATGCAAATGAAAGTTGCTGGCGAAATATATATCTTAGGGAATCGCGCAGCTAATTTTTTTTTGAAAAATATAACATTCAGTTTTCAGGGTTGTATGGCATTAAGCAATTTACGAAATAAAATTTATAAAATGTTTATGTTACGTGACAGTGGATAATAAAATATTTATAAACAATTACAAACTTTATCACATACTTAAATAAATTAATTAAGCGTGACAAAATAAGTATAGAATAGTATACAATTCGTGTTATATTCAAGAATTACTCCATGTGCTTATAGAAGTAATTTCGTGTGGTCAAAAAAATTATATTTATTTAATCTGATTTTATCTACACCCGCAATAAACAATAGAAATTCGTGTATTGTATACACTTATTTATTTTTAAATATTAATGCAACTTGTATCATAACTGTAATACAAAAAAATTTTTTTGTTTTCAAAAATATAGGTGTTCTATCAGCCCGGTGAAATATTTAATAGAGGTTTCTAATGGGTTTTTACTAATAATTATAAGGATCGAAATATATATTTTTAAACATTTCATATAAAAGTTTCAGCTTAGGATGTCCACCCGTAGTTAATTTTTAATAAATATTAAAAACTTTACAAAGAGGGAAGTTTCTGTAATAACAGTTTCAAAGTTTGTGTCTCTGTTATACCTATATCTAGGCACTGCCGGAATGACACACAAGGCTTATTATATCTCACAAGGAGCTCATTTAAAATTCTCTTGCATCGTTGCATAAATTAATTAATTATCGCATCCTATGTAGTAAAAGATATTTTAATACCTGTATTTCGTTCAGAAATTTTTGATAGGGAGAATTTCAAATTCGGAAAATACATTGGCGATATACTCACTAAAAGGCCACTAAAAAAATTGTGAGTCCGTTTTATTCCATCGTCCTGATCTACACCATTCACCTTAAGGTCAGGTTTAAGATCATAATAACATTAATAATAATTCTACGCTCTCTTATTTCTAGCATCGAAATAAGGGGTCGCTAATACCAAGCCCAATATGACCTTGACATGTTCTTTCGACCTCGACCTCAAGATCAATGTCATTAAGGAGTACCATCAGGTATCTACTCAAAAACTATCATTCCCTCTGATTCCGTAGATAAAAATAAAAAATTACAGTAAAAATTAAAATTTGACCTTGAACTGACCTTGACCGTTAACCTTGGAACGGTAAATTTCATATTCGGATGCAGAATTTTCTGCTGTTCCCATTTCCGGGGACAAAAAGGAGGGTCGCCATTTAAAAAAAACGACTTGATATTGATATGACCTTGAACCTTGACCCTCACCTCAAGGTTAAGGTTACCATCGGATGCGCTGTTGAAAATGCTTTCCCGCTGAGATTTTTGGGAGTTTTCATACTTTTGACTAACCCTGTATAACTTCGGAAAACTTTAATGGTACATAAGTAACTGGGTTATTGTTCACTTTTTTGTGTTTAGGTTCATCAAAAAATGCTAGATACGAAAGGTATAGCTATTAAATTTTTATGATAACATTAAAATTTGTACAGTGTGTTATTAAAATGCAAAGCACACAAAATTAGTGGCTTTTTAAATCGAACACTTTGCATATTATGCCATGTTTAATATTATGCTTTTCCGAAGGTTTGATGGGTCTACCTCTAATGAAAAGGAAGAAATGAGGGAAGAAGTGAGCGTTAGAATTTGAAATAGAATTAATATTTATATCTACAGTATTTTTCTAATACATTATATATGGCATGTTTCAATAGCCATATCTTATTTATTTGTAGAGGTAAATCCAACATAATTCTGAAAAAGCGTTCTACTCAAATATGTCCATAATATACAGGGTGTTCTATTTTAAAAAGCATAAGTTTGGTTTAATAAGCAGACATAAAGCGATGTACAGGCCCGGATCCAGAGACTGGTTTTGGGGGTGGCGCAAAGCACTTCTTTATCATTATCATTATCGTTATCGTTATCCTTATCGTTATCCTTATCGTTGGCGGTGGCGTTGTCGTTGTCGTTGTCGTTGTTGTTGTTGTTGTTGTTGTTATTTTTTTGATGACGTAAGGTGTAGGTTAGGAAGGGGGACTTGCATTAATATCGACTAACTGCCTGTTGTCGTTTGGAAAAATTGAAGATCATTAAAAAATGTTGTGCTTTGGGGGTGGCGATCGCCACATCGCCACACCCTCTGGATCCGGGCCTGGCGATGTATCGTTTGAAGAAATTTGTATTTTTTTAAATTAAATACAACATACATTATCCAAATATAAATTTTATGTATTTAAAAGTGAAGGGATAATGTAAAATCTAAAATACTAGTTGTAGATTATCCTAGAAACGATTAGCTTTACTGAATTACAGAAAAAAGTAAATCAAAAGTTAGGCAAAACAACACATATTTTATATAAGTGGGTATGAACTTTAAAATAACTGTCAGACTGCAGCAATAAGCAATGAGCAACTGGTAACACGTGATATTGTTGTTGTTTAGTAATTTTTAAAGGAACATTGATTAGTCGATCCCTTATGTTTCACAACATTACTTGGCTAGCAAGCGTAGATCGTCAAGGTTTTCTAGCATTATATAAATTAATTTATCTTTGACTATGTTTCTATAGAATTTGCTGTCCACTAAAAACTGTATAATTAATATAATTTATACATGTGTTAATAGTGACTACCTGTTAGTTTACGAGCACCTCGTATACGAGGCAACAAGATACCAGAGATATCACGAGAATATTGGATCTCGTCGATTGTGTTGCTTGCTGCGCGTTGAAAAGCAACAGTAGCAACACATTATCGTCACAGTAGAGCAACAAGGTCCAGTACAAACATTAACCATGTTCCATGTACGATGGACGATACCTAACTTCATTTTTATAAATAGAAAACCCTGTGAATTTTGGAATTCCTTACCTATTATTACCTTATTACCTTCCTTTTAATGATAAATATTAATAATGCAACTTCACTGTTATCTATCATGAGTAACTTGATTTTTTCAAATTGAACTCTACGTTAAAATTACTGTGAGGTATTATTAAGGTATATCAGGGTCTCGAAAAATTCGAAATTTTCTGCAATTTTAAGAAATGGATAATGCAAAATATAATTGCAAAATCAATAGAAAACTTAAAACAGAAACATATTATCACAATAAAAAAAACATAGTGATACTCACGAATCAATTTTTTCGGCTGAAACACGTATTTCGTCATTTTTTTTTATTTATCATTTTATGCGGTGGTATGATGACGTAAATACTAGATGCTGTGATTAAATCTAGTGTATTTTACTTTTACACTAAACTACTTTTGACCATTTTTGGCACTGCCATCTATACCGCAGAGTAAGACAACTACAGAATTGTTTAATGAAAATTGCTACTTTTTGAAGGATTCTGCCTCTATCATAGAGAATGTCATCATCTTAGTACTTCGAAGAATTCAAAAGAAACACGAAAAACAAAAAAGGGAATTTTGCTATTTATTGACTTTGTTTCATGCTGTAATTTCATCAAGGTAATGACACTATTTCATAATATAGCTTCAGGCCACATTTGGGCAAAATTTGATTCAATAAATTTTGACGATGATTATAAAATTAAACTTGAATAAATTTTTTTACATTTCTAGATAAGGCCTCCTCATTTTTTAATGCAGCCACTGTACGTTTTCGCTTCCCTGGGTACGGCCCTGGCTAAAAGAGTACCTATTTTTGCTTCCTTTGAATTTTTTTCACAAAATAGTGTCAGTTTATTTTATAATACACACAGATTGTACGTTATATAGAATTATGAGATTTCAGGATCAATATCCATAGGAGTTTTCCTATTGAGATTTCTCACCGTTACGACTGGTATATTTGGCATAAAAAAATGCGAGGTATATTCGTTGATGGCGCTATTTTATGTATTAGTATTAGTACTGGTTAAAAAATTGCACGAGAAATGTAAACATATACTATAATGGTAAAAAAATGTACTAAAAAAACTTGAAATTGGTTTATAATTTATAAACGCTATTGTCAAATATGATAATAAATAAGCCAGTTAAGTTAATTTACGATGCGGTAGTACTGGACAGGTTTG